ATGAATATTTCAAGAAAGCCTTGCTGCTTTTACACAGGGGACCAAATTTTTAGTTTTGCGTTAGTGTATCTTTAATATCAAAGCTTAATCTTTAGAAAGACACAAATCTCTTTTATAGCCAATTTGATCACATGCAGAATTTTCTTTCATAAAGTCACTCTTCATCAACTTTTTTCATGACTTACTTAGACCTTTGATAACATGCTTAGCCTTTATGTCTTGTCCAAATATTTCCTATTTCTTAAATAACCAGTCATTTTACTTTAGGACAAAAATGTATCACATAAGTTGTTCTTATACAAAACTATTCTGTTTTCTTTTTAACCTTCCTTACCAAAAACACATTCTCAACCCGTAACTTTATTCACATCTCTCTCTTACTTACTGGTTCCTTTCTATCTTATTTCTATTTTTTTCTAAATCTATATTTTGAAACAACCTTTAAATAACATCCAAATTAGACAAAATTATTTTTCCTCAATAAAGAACACATTTTTATGCCTTTCTTATAAGTTTTCTCATCAATAATACATTATTTTTAATATATTTTATATACATTAATTAGAATTGTTATTGTAAATTAATTTATATTTTTAACTAGAAATTTAACTCTTAGTAACCTTAAATTTAACAAGTAATTTGAACTGTCACTTATTAGTATTTAATAGATGAGAACCAGCTTATTTATTAAAGATTTACTTAAGTCACTGAACTAAAAGACACTTGGGTTAATTAGTATATAATTTATATGAGTATTCATTTATTGAAGCCAATCCGAATAGAATTTCTTAGGGGATTTTGGCCAACTATGCCAATACATGTACGTATGTATAAATGTACCTGAACATATACAGACATACTCAAAAGCCTTAATAGATTTCATTTTGGAATTTTAATTATAAAGTAGTAATACAAACTCACTGGTTTATGAAAGATAATTAGATTCAAATTATATTTCTGACAAAATTGGGCCCCTATATGTAATTAAGGCTGTGGACCAAAATTTGGGGTAAAGTAGCCTGCAGGATGCAGATCAAGTAAAATGTTAAATTAGGCACACAGAAAACCTAAAGTAAATTCCCTAGAAAAGACATGTGTAACAAACAGAATGTAAATTCCATAGAAACTAGGGTCCTCAAACCACAAAGACATTTGTCTTTACACCAGAAAAGACTTACCAGAAGAGACAAAAGGTCTTTTGTCATCCCAGGAGAGATGTAAGGTCCTTTATTTACCATATCCAGAATAAAGTCAAGAGGTTCTACCTTGATTTTAGAGGGAGAGAGAGTCCTGACCTGACAAAAGGTGTGCCGTGGAAGCAGAGAGCTCCAGGGGCTCAAGTGAGTACTGCACACCAGTTCTGAGCATCACAAACTGTGTCCAAAAGTAATCCTATTCCAGGTCCTACCTCTGGACATGCTTCATGTCAACCTAAATAACAGAGAGGGGGCTCTCTAAAATAAAATAATGTTTATTTGGGAATAGGGTATTGCAACAGGAATCCACAGGTCATAGTAAATTGTTTGCATATTCAGGAAGGTAAAGGAAGACAATGAGTGTCAAGAAAAAATGAGGATGATTGCATAATTGTTTTGAAATAATTATCCTTGGCTACAAGGATCCATAACAAGGGTGGTGCCAGCCTGAGGTTGGACAAGTAGTTGCTGGGCAGATGTCCTCAGAGAAGTATTTTTTTGTGTGTGTAAGGTTGCAGTGGCCTTTGAAGAGTTGTGGTTATCGCAGTCTTCTGTGATAGTTTTGCTATTAGGTATACAAGCATGAGAACCCTCCCTTCACAGCCTTCCCTGACTCTATTTGTCAGGATTTTAAAAAAAAAAAGAAAAAAAGAAAAAAGAAAAAAAACAGTGACTCCATTTTGATTCTGACAACAACTTTCATTGTCAGAACTGAATTGTTTCTTTATCTGTAGGGTCTATTCTCCATCTTTTTCTCCCCTTATAATTTATCAAATAAAATGTTTTTTTATACTTTTGTATTTTCTACAGTTTAGAGTTTGCTGATTCCATCCCCATGGTACAGTTGAACATGTTTTTCTATTTTCTATAAATTGATAATTAGAGCCATAGGTGTGATTAGATTCAGGTTATTTCCCACTGATCCCCATCCCTGTTCTTTTTTTGCTGTTGCTGCTGCAGGAATAGTTCATAATATGTATACTTCTAATAAGAGACACTCACTCCCTAATTTCCTTCCTTGTCATCCTAGTTTGTTTCGTTTTCTTTCTCCCTTCCTTCCCCTCCCGTCTCTTTTTTTCCTCTTCCTCTTTCCCTCCCTTCCTCCCTTCCTTCCATTTTTCCTTCCTTCCTTCTGTCCGTCTGTCTGTTGTTCTTTCCTCCTTCCCTCCTTCCTTCCAAGAGCCAATGCTTCATTGCTGCCTTTTCATCCTACATGTGGCTAAACAAGACAGATGATTTCTTAAATGTATCATTCATCTTTCCCAAATTTGCAAGAGTTTGGGATCCTCTTAAGTTTTAAGACATCCCCAAGAAAATTCCTCACTTGTTTTCTCCATTTTATACCCTGGCACTTGAAGTTTCCTTCCTGTAGTCTGAAGACTTCTTAAAATGTAGAGCCTGATCTTGTTCTCCATTCTATTCCTGGTGTCTAAGATAGTACTGAGCACACAGTAGGCATTTATTATATTTGAGCTGTATCAACTGTGTCAATTAGGCATACTGAATGGAATAATTGAGATTTTAATGGACTATTTCAAAGGTATGTGCAGGATTAAGAGAAACCAACAAGAAATGAAAAGGTGCTAAACTAGTAACAGAGCCATCTAGTACTCCAAGGTACCAGGACAAGAGAAGGAACAAACCTAGAGGGCTGTAGGAGTGGACACCATTCCTGGAGCTGTAGCCTGGTTTGCAGGAACACTACAGCCACTGCCAACCTGTGGCTCAGCAGGAAAAAGATGAGGAAATACATACACTAACCTTATTTTCTCCTACCCTCCTATCTGCTGATACCTCTAACTCCTGAACTTAACTAGAAGCCAGTCCATAAAAGTCAGCCTCCCAGAATTCAGGAAAAAGTGAGGGGTGGAGAATGGATCTGGAGAAGCAGATGTAGAAACTGTAGTACAATGGACAAAACCTTCCCTGGAGTATAGCAGTTATTACAGTTTCCCAGGAGGCTAAAACTTTGTTTCACTGGGCTTGGACAGTGATTAAGGGAGGCAGGAGCAGGGAAAAAAGAGTGTGGCCTGAATATATTAAAGCAGCAGTCCATAAATCCCCTCCACTCAAATCTTTCTACAGCTACTTAGTGCCCTTCAGTTACTTTTATACAACTTCAAGTCTGCCTTTAGTGTTAATTTTAACCTGATTTATCCTATATTCCAGGAAGAGGTAAGCAATATTCAGTTGATCTGCGCCAGACCCAGCCTTTTAATTAAGAGATTATTCTGGCCAGGTGCGATGGCTCACGCCTGTAATCCCAGCACTCTGGGAGGCTGAGGAGGGCGGATCACGAGGTCGGGAGATCAAGACCATCCTGGCTAACACGGTGAAACCCCTTCTCTACTAAAAAAAAAAAAA